TATATTAAATTTTTGATTAATTGTCTGATTTGCATTTATGCTGGTTGTTATCTTAGAAATATAAGTATATTTAGTAAGATTATATATAACTTAAGATGTTTTTGTGCTTAGAAGAAAAAGAAAAACTAAAGTTTATGATTCTAAATTACATACAGAAGTAACTAATAAATTTTTAGAAGCTTTTGAACACATATCAATATTTAGAATAATTAATATATTTTATAAATTCTAAATAAATTTATGCTTTGGATTAATTAGATGGTAAACTGGAATTTATTTTAAATAATTTTTTAAAAAATAAGGATTCTGATTTGCTTAAGTATTTTGACTATGGTTATATTAAGTTTCACAAACATAAAAACAGAAAATTAAAAATCAAAAGATTTATCAAGAAAACAGATAATTTTAACTATTAAAATATAATATATCTACCTCGTTAAATTATATTGTGTTATGGTATTTTAAAATAATTGTAGTTATTTTATGTTTTTATGTTTGTGAAACTTAATATAACCATAATCAAAATACTTAAGTAAATCAGAATCCTTATTCTTAAAACAGATAATTTCAACTATTAAAATATAATATATCTACCTCGTTAAATTATATAGTGTTATGATATTTTAAAATAATTGTAGTTACTTGATCAAAAGATGTTTATTATTAAATTTATTTTTCGTTTTATTTTTAGTATCTCTTAAAATAGTCAGTAGAAAGTGATTGTTTTGAGAAATTATACTATATAAGTAAAATAGAATTTATATTTTTACTGTAATTGTAAGATATTATAGTCAAATAAATATACTAAAAACTAATTTCATTAATACTAATTATAAAAATTGTCAATTAAACATATATCAATTTATGTTAGTTGATTATTTTATGTAATCATCTAATTAAATAGATAGATATATACAAAAATAATTATTTTTTTGAAAATATATATATTTTATTGTTTAAAATTATTTTTTAAAGAAAAATATATCTTTTTCTAACAGCAATTTTTTTGTGTGAAGTTTTTTTATGAAATCACATTATATACAACATATATTGTTTTTTTTATCTAAGAAGATATAGATATAAATTATTTTATTACTTCAAAGGTATATTTTATGTTATTTAAAATATATTTAAATTAAATATTACTATTTTGTGAACTTTCCATTTTTTATTAAACCATATTATATATACCTATATTTTCGTTTTTAAACAATTTTGTAAATTTTATAAATGTTTCCTTTTTATTTTATATTGTTATTTGGAAATTTCTAAAAAGAAAATAATATTTAATTATATTTTTAATTTATTAGGGGTATCATAGTAATCAACCAGCATGGAAGTTAACATGAGCGCGACATCTAAGAAAGTGACTTCTCAAATAATATTATAGAGATTGGCCTACATAGAGCATTGTCGCAATTCGCAAACGCGTTCTAGACATATAGGATAATCACATTTGAATATGTGATAAACAGTGATGAACATTGCTTACACAAACTTGATTATATGACAAATTTACGAGTCATCAAACGAAATGGCAAGACATCATAGAGAAATTAATCACATTCCTTAATGGCTATTATTTGGTGTTGATCATGTGTTGTTGAGTAACTGGAGTTTACTTAAGTGTTTACGTAAGTGTTTGTTGTAGATAATAATTTTTTTTTTTTTAACGCTGGGTTGATAATAATCGAAAGAAATATAGTACAGGAGCATATGGTACAAACCGACAAACTCAGGGTACCATACTGACAGAGCAAAAGAAAAAAACACAACGAAAGAGATAGATAAGATAAATTAAAGGAACGAAACAGACACCAAGATAGGAGGAAAAAGCAGCACCGATCAGAAGACCATAGCTGAACCAAACTTGCGGTGTCGTTAAGAACTCAATCCTATACTCATCAAGGAAGAAGAGTAGAGACGCAAACTGATACTCAAGGAAGGTTGTTACACCCCAGAGCTTCCCTACGCACCATGTTCTGCAACCAACTAGGACCACCACTCGCGGACGTAAGAGTTATAGCGTTCTTCCCTAGTAACACTATCTGCAATCTCCTGAGCCATCTTATTTCGCGCTGTAACAATGAGATTCAAACTCCAGGAACCCAAAGCCATGAGATTGTTTGTGATCATCAATTTCAAACTATGAAGAGGAAATTGAACATCATTACCCAACAAAACCTCTCTAGCCTCCAAAAACGAAGATTCCACTACGATGTTAGAAAACCTCAACGAACTAAGACTCTCTGTGGCCCATTCCAGACAATCGAGTTCTGCTTCCACACCAGATTGCACATTAGCAAAAGATCTTCGACTATGTAACAGAACTATCCCCTTACCATCACGCAACACCCACGACGTTCCACTGTTCTTGGAGATTGGATCCCAAGCAGTGGCCACATTGCATTTAAGAAAACCCAAAGGTGGCGGTTGCCAGTGACTCAATTCTGTGTTAGATATCTGGTGGTTACGCGAAACCGTCGTAGAGGCCACATTGAGTTCCAACCATATGTCGGCCTCCTCCTCAGCCTTTTCCCATATTACCGAAGGACTTGACTGAACCTTCTCAAAGGATAAAAGATTACGAGCTTTCCACAACTGCCATAGTATCCAAGGCACTTTCTTTCTTAGCTGAACACCACTAGTATTAGTAGGCCGGACAAACAAATGATAAAGATTAAGGAATACAGAGTTATTTGAGAAGCCACCAGCTGGTCTTTGAATACCGGACTTATCCCAAACCTCAACCGCCTTAGGACAAAGAAACAGTAGGTGACAGATGGACTCCGACGCTCTGGAACATTGTATACACGTGGTATCAACTCGGATGTTCCTAGATCGGAGACGTTCCTTAACCGTTAAAGCTCCTGACAGAATTCTCCCGAGGAAGTGCTTCAGCTTCGGAGGAGCTTTAATTTTCCATATCAGGCTCCATAGTTTCTTCTCAACAGGTGGGAGAACCGGTCTATTTGGAATGTTAAGATCATGAATTGTTTCCAAAAGCCGGTAACCACTCTTCGTAGTATAGCACCCATCTTTAGTAAAACCCCACTTGTAGGAATCAGACTTATATACCTCTGGCTTCAGCCACAATATTATCTCTGCATCTTTAGGTGTGAACGTGTTTCTGACTAACGCCTCATTCCACCGTGATGTGTTCCCAATAAGAAGGTCCGAGATTTTGAGGGTCAAGTCGATTGTGCTATCATCTCTATACAATGGAAACTTTGGAATCTGGTCAACAATCCATTTCTCAGACCAGACGTTAGTATCTCTTCTATTCCCCACATGTCTAACCAATCCTTCCGACAACAACTTACGACCATGAAGCAAACTGCGCCAAGCAAAAGAAGGACGAGAACCCAAACCACAGTCCATAAACGTTGAATGACGGAAATAACGACTCTTTAGCACACGCGCAACAAGAGACTCAGGTCTAGACCAAATTCGCCAAGCTTGTTTACCAAGAAGAGCTTGATTAAATCTGCTTATATCATGAAAACCTAGACCACCTTCCTCTTTTCTTTGACACATCTTCTCCCAAGCCACCCATGGGATCTTGTTCTTTTGATTGCCACTACTCCACCAAAACTCAGATATGACACTAGTAATCTTAGCATAAAGAGTTTTTGGTAACTGAAACACTGACATAGCGTAGATAGGAAGCGCTAAACACACTGCTTTGTTAAGGATTTCCTTACCCCCTTGAGATAAGGACTGAGCAAACCATCCATGGAGACGGGACTGAAGTTTGTCTTTCACGAAATTCAGTAGCTCTATTTTGGATCCTTTAAAACATTCAGGGAGACCAAGATAGGTTCCTTCACCACCTCCTTGTCAATCTGCAAAACACCTTTGATCTCCCTTTTGACAGAATCAGGGATTTTACTACCAAATATTATAGAAGACTTTTGTAGGTTGATACACTGACCCGAAGCCTCTCCATAACTACGCAAGCAATTAATTATCTCCTCGCTGTTCGATACATCAGCTTTACACAATAACAGACTGCCATCAGCGAACAAAAGATGATGAACTGCAGGCCCATCAGAACTAAACCGAACCCCTTGCAGCTTACCCTTCGCCTCTGATTTATTCAAAGTGCTGACCAAGGCTTCCGCACAAAGAATAAACAGGAAAGGAGAGAGAGGGTCGCCTTGCCGTATACTTCTTTCTGGTTTGATAAACCCATGTGCTCTTCCATTTAATAGGACAGTGTAAGTCACCGAGGAAATAGCAGCCATAATCCACCTCACCCAAACTCTATCAAAACCCATTCTCTCCATCAAAGTCTCCATAAAGCACCATTTCACGTGATCATATGCCTTAGACATGTCTGTTTTGACCGCCATGTAGTCTTTAGATAACGAATCCGTTGTTCTGAGACCATGTACTAACTCATGAACAATCATGAGATTATCAGTAATTAATCTGCCACCAACAAATGCCCCTTGTGTATCTGAGACAATAAATATTTAGGAAAACATTTGTATCTGAAGTTATTCATAATATTTATATTGTTTTTTTTTGTCACTGACATAATATTTATATGGTTAAATATGTCAACTTGCGCCCAAATAACCTAACCCGCAACAGATTCGATTTTATTTTGATTTATGATTAATAACTGCGTTTGCGATTTGTATACATATAATAACTGCTCTGCTACTTGGTTACTTAAAAGAACTTTAAGACAAAATCTGTGGATTTCAGTCTACTTTGACATCTCTACTTCAAGGTATACAGAATGTTACATTAATTAGATAAATTAAAAACCTTAAAAGAACAGAACACAGAGACTAAATTGCCTCAAAGGACTAGTAAGTTTATATCACCTTAGTTTACCTTGTAAGCAGATTTAAGCTAACAAAATGCCTAGAGATATTGGTCACAAAACTCACAATATAGCTGTTAATCTCAAATCGATTCAAAATGAAGTTGAAACAATGTTCATAAAAGCAAAAGAACGACTCTACCAGTGACTAAGTAAAGAGTCATCAAACCGAAACGGCTAGACTATGCAAGAACTCATATGACTTGGGGACAGTATACACAACATCGAACCACTCAATCTCCCCCCAAACTATACTTCCATTATTGATTCTTCTCAACGCAACCACAGCACACCAAATATTCTTCTGACTACGACCACGCCGCTCAAACTTATCCCACACAATCACGAGTTTCCCACCATAGTTCACTAACTCAACCACACAATTCGGATAACCACTACTAACCCCACTAAAACTACGATACTTCCTCAGTAGTTCCAATCCTCTCACATTTTTCCACCTGCCACTCTTTAAATCATACCACACGTACCTCGAGAAAGAGTATGAATATATCACATTGTCTATCACACACCAAGAGTTTGACCAATATAAACTCAATTCCAAATCCGCAACACTCCATTTTCTTTCCTTCAAGTCATAGACCCAATCATTGAGCTCAAGATCAGTCTTTACGTAAATCTTTTCATGCGCCACACCGATTTTGCGTACGTTCTTACATCCCAACCTTACCTTTTGATCAGGATTCGCCGGTAGGGTTTCCCAAGTCTGTGTCTTGATGTCAAACATCTCAAACCAACTTTGGTGTTCAAACCTAGCTCTACATCCTCCCATTACATAAATCTTGTCATCATGGACACATGCTGACGCGTAACATCTCTCCATATTCATGTTAGGAAGATTACGCCACGTCTTACTCCTACACTCATAAACCCTAACCGCTGCGGAGTAGTCTCTTACGTTATCATCCAATGGTCCACCGAATAAGTAGATTTGCGAGCCAATCATTACGGTGGAAGATGCATGGGGAGGAGGAGGAGAAGGAGAATGATTCGGAACAGGAACCAAGAGGTTTCCACTTGATTTCTCTTTAGTTCTACCATCGGTTAGGTTTCGCTTAGGTTTCACATAGAGACAGAACCATCGTGGAGATGGAAGTGTGAAGTGCTCGGTGGAGTACTGTAGACAGATGTATAGGCATATCTCGGTGGTGCCCATTTGAGAACGTGCGGCGTAGAGATCTGAGGAAGAGAGGAGAGAGCGAAAGGTCTTGGAGACGAGGGAGATTTTAGGGTAATAAGATTTTGGGATGCGTGCGAAGCAATTCAAAGTGATGTCGTTTGGAAGTGAAGAAAGGGAGAGACATGGTTGATGGTGAAACGGCGGTGGGGGTTGTGCTGGCGGAAGCTTGGCCTTTTTCTGCGGCGGCGTCTCAACTTCTTCTTCGAGGATCATCGCTGGGGGACGAAAGTAGTGGTGGAGAGAATATTCGTTAAATAGGTTGAAACGTATATGAAAACTAAATAATATATATCAACACGTTTCCCATTTTGAATGGGATATTTATGCAGAGTTTTTAGTTTAATATTTTACAATCATTGAAAACTAAATAATGAAAGACTTACTTGTGAAAATAAACAGATTAAGAGTGGAAATATAATTTTTTGCCTTTTAATGCTCATTAATAAATTTATTTAATTTTGTTACAAATACAATATGTATATTTCTACTTTAAAATTTAGCTACTTTGTTATTCATTTTGTTACTTTTAAAGCTTACTAGAGATTTTATACGCGCTACGCGCATATTATGTATTTTGAATTTGTTAAATTTTTTATTTTATAACTATTATGTTATTTTGTTTGAATATGTTCTTATTTTAAAAAGATTTTTACCAGTCATAATTTTACCAGTTTTAACAAAAAAATTGCATTTTTTTGCTTAGTTTTCTTCTATAAATTAAGAATATAACTTTCTAATTTTTGTTAATCTTTATTACAACACTTTTGTTATTATAAACTAGTCTTGAATAAATTGAAACAGGGGAAGTATTAGATTTGTAATCTACAAAACCAGGAAAATGAGTAGTCTGACTAACACCTTAAAAATATGGAATGTAATTTTGCATTCTTTTTTATACTTTAATCTCCATTTATCTCTAAAATTTGTTATTTTTTAATTTTATAACTACTATGTAAGATTGTTTTTGAATATGTCTTTATTCTTTAAAAATACTATTAGTTATATATTAAAATTTTTGACAAAAAAATTGCATAATTTCTCGTATAGATACATGCTATAAATTAGGAGTATAACTTTCTAATTTATTTTTTGTTAATATTTATTACAGCATTTTTGTTATTACAAGTTAGATTTTCAATTTTTAAAACCAAATAAAATAAGTAGTTCCACTAGCAACTTCAAAAGAGAACTTAATTATGTCTTCCTTATCTATACTGTTAATATCCACTTATCTTTTCCATTTGTTAAATTCCTAGTTTTTTAGTTAATATATACAATTTTGTTTGAACACGTCTTTATTTTAAATAGATTTTTAATAGTTTGACGATTTTTTTGCATAATTTATTTCTTAGTTTTCTAATATAATTTTCTAATTCTTTTATTGTTATTATAAATTAGATTTTCAATCTATAAAACCGAAAAAATAGTTTTCCGACTAACATGAATGTAGTTTTGCTTTCTTTTGATGTACTGTTAAATTCCACTTATCTCTGAATTTCTTTATAATAAGATGAATATTTTTTGTATTTAAAGTTCTCTTCTAATTTCTTTATAAAGTTCTGAAGAATGTATATGGAGGAAATAAATACGATCTTATTAATGATGTTGAAGCGAGTAATAATTTCTGGTCATTGTTTTGATTGATTTTTAAAATAAGTTATATGTAGTTAACTAATTAAATGGATTTTTAAAATTTATATATTATGAGATTGTTGTTTGTGGCGAACACAATTTTTTTTTGTTCTTTAGTTCTTAATAATTGTCAAAAATAATCACGATTTAAAATTTTGCCCAAAAAAAAACAGTTTGTTGCTTCAACAGATCTATTCCGTTTACCATTCAAGCCTCAGCTAATTTTCCATCACTAATTCGTTTGATAAATTATTAGATGGTGAAATATATTTGTTACGCTTGGTTTCTGAGCTAAACTTTGTAGCTGTTGATTTCACTGTACCTTGTCTTTTGTTTGAACTTCTTGTATCTGTGATGAGAAAGTAATTTATAGGTCGAGCTTCTTTGTGAAGTTTTTCAATGAAAAGTATACTTTGTTACGCTTGGCTTCTGAACTAATGCTAAAATTTGAAGTTAATTTATTAGTTTTGCAAATTGTATCAGTGATGAGAAAGCTAGTACATAAAGGCCCATTGTTTAGGACGAGAGATAATGTATTCGTCCTTCTGTGCACCATTTCAGATATGATTTTCTTTCTGTATTAATCGATTTTTGTCTAAATCTTATCAGGTTGTGGTCACAAAACAAAGGGACATATTCTTTAAAATCAAAAGAATGACTAATGAAGTATTTAAGAGTCATCAAACCAAAACGGGTAGACAACGCAAGAACTCATACGACTTGGGGACAGTATGCACAACATCGAACCACTCAATCTTCCCCCAAAAACCTTCATGGATTCTCTCCAACGCAACCACCGCACACCAAATATTCTTGTTCTGACTACGACCACGCCGCTCAAACCTATCCCAAATAATCACGAGTTTCCCACCATAGTTCACTAATTCAACCACACGACCATTCGGATAAACACTACTATTAGAACTACGATACTTCTTCAGCACTTCCAAACCGCACACATCTTTCCACGTCCTACTCTCTGAATCATACCACACATACTTCAAGCCAGAGTAAGAAAACATCACATTGTCTATCACGCACCAAGAGTTCGACCAGTTTTTACGCAAGCCCATACCCGCAACGCTCCATTTCTTTTCCTTCACATCATAGATCCAATCATTGAGCTCCATCCTAGTCTTCACGTACTCGACCAGTTTTTGCAAACCTTCTTACTTCCCAACCATACTCTACGGTCAGGATTCGCCGGTAGGGTTTTCCACGTCTGTGTCTTGATGTCGAACATCTCGAACCAGCTTTCGTGCTCGAACGAAGCATTACTTCCTCCCAAGACATAAATCTTGTCGTCAAGGACACATGCAGACGCATAACATCTCTCCATATTCATGTTAGGAAGATTACGCCACGTCTTACTCATACACTCATAAACCCTAACCGCTGAGGAGTAGTCTCTTACGTTATCGTCCAATGGTCCACCGAATAAGTAGATTTTCGTGCCAATCATTACGGTGGAAGATGCATGTGGTGGAGGAGGAAGAGGATATTTTTTGGGAATAGGAACCAAAAGGTTTCCACTTGATTTCTCTTTGGTTCTACCATCGGTTAGGTTTCGTTTTGGTTTCACATAGAGACAGAACCATCGTGGAGATGGAAGTGTGAAGTGGTCGGTGGAGTACCGTAGACAGATGTAGAGGCAGGTCACGGTGGTTCCCATTTGAGAACGTGCGGCATAGAGCTCCGAGGAAGAGATGAGAGAACGAAAGGTCTTGGAGACGAGGGAGATTTTAGGGTAGTAAGATTTTGGGATGCGTGCGAAGCAATTCAAAGTGATGTCGTTTGGAAGTGAAGAAAAGGAGAGACATTGTTGATGACTAAGCGGCGGCGGTGGTGGTAGAAGCTTGGTTTTTTTCTGCGGCGGCGGCTCAACTTCTTCGAGGATCATGTTGGTGGAATAAAGTAGTGGTGGAGAGAATATTCATGAAATTAAAACCTAAATTCCTTATCCTCAATATATTAAAAGAAAATCATTTAAAAAATTATAACCTTAAGTTTTTAATAATTAAAAATAACATCTTATGTGGCATAACTCTTTGTATTCTATTTCAATTTATAAGGATTCTAGAGCATATAATATAATGTATAGTCTAAAAATTATATTTTCTAGCTGCACGTTCTCAAATGGGCACCACCAAGATATGCCTCTACATCTGTTTATATGAGAGAATTTCCTAGAGCTGGGCAAAAAAACCGAACCCGAAAATCCGAACCGAATCCGACCCGATAAAAAGGAACCCGAACCGATCCGAACCCGACATAAGTACCGAATGGATCTTGTTTTACGGTATTTCGGGTTATGGATATTACCCGAACCGAACCCGAACTTAAATGGATATCCGAAAGAACCCGAAACTTTAAAATTCCAAAAACAACTTGTATCATATCCAATCTAAATTTCTAATATGTTTCCAAAGCAGATTAATATATTATTGAGTACCTACAATAATTAGTTATGATATAAATAATTAACTCAAATATTTAGTCTAATATATAGTGTTATTTGGTTAATATTAATGTTTATGATTGACATTACATTTGAAGTTAAGTTACAAATAAATTTGTTTTGAAGTTTATATAATGTTGTTTTTAAAAGTTTAAATAGCACTTCTTATGTTTATAGAATTGTTAGTTGTTAAATTTAATTTTTTATGTTTCATTATGTATTATATTTCGTTTATACAAGGCTTTGGTTTGTCATTAATCATGATATGTTTAGTGTTATCACATATAATTCATTGACAAATCTTATATGGTTGATAGATGAGTTTCACAATATTATTTTGAAGGAGAACAATATGGTTTGTAGAAGCTAAATACACAAATTTAATAAAATGATTGAATATATAGTGAGTTTAATTGAGTATAAATTAGTATTTTTAGAACCGATAACCCGATTAGTATCTGAAACCGAAACTATTTCGGGTTCAACCGGATCTTGGACATGTTACTAAACCCGAACCGAATCCGACTAAACCCGAACCGAATCCGACCCGAATTTTTATAATATCCGAATGGGGCTGAAATTCATGAACCTGAAAATTTGAAACCCGAATGAACCCGAACCGAAACCCGATTGGGACCCCGATTGCCAGCCCTAGAATTGCCCATGTTTAATTATAGTTTTCTTTTAAAAAACAAAACAAAACAACAAACTATTTGTAAAATATATTATTATCAATTTTCCTTTTCTAAAATTCTAAAGAAAATATTATTTGATTGTAATTTTTCACTTCAAATTTTTATATATGTAAAAATATATCATATTAACAAAATATATATACGAAAAAATGAAAATAATTTTACAGGTAAAAGTAATTTTATAAATTATTTAATAGCAATTTTATAAACCATTTTATTTAAAAAAAAATTAAAATTTTTGAAAATAATGTATTTGATACTAATTTTCTATTTCCAAAATTCTGAATAAAAGGTATTTAACAAAACTTAATTTCTATTAATTTTCCATTTCTAAAATCTTTAAAAAAAAATTCACATGTTCATTGCATAAGAGCTTATAGATTCGATTCATATGTAAATGTCTATTTTTTACTTACTAACAATAAATTTGAAATTTCATCGAAACAAAATCTTGAACATAAAAGAATTATTAAAGAGTGTTCAATGGTTTTTTTTTAAATCCTAAATTAAAGTATTTGTAGAATAATTATTTCCAATACTTTTATGTTCTTTACTTCTTAAACTGATGATGATTTTTAATATATATCCTAAGATAATTAATAAATTTTAAAGATATTAATTTTTAAAATTGTCTAAAACTTTTAAAAAAACTTATAAGTTCTCAATTGTTAGTTTTTATTTATAAAATCCTAAACAAAATATATTAAATAATAAAAACTGAATTTTAAAAATATTAATTATAAATATTTATTAAAAGTAAAAAAAATTAAAGGGTGTTTAATTGTAGATTTCCTTTTTACAAATCCTAAACAAAAGGAATTCGTAAAATAATTTATTTATTACCAATTTTTCTTTTCTAAAATCCTAAATACAATATTATTTGATAGTAATTTTACTTTTAAAATTTTTATATATGTTAAAATAAGTCATGATTAACAAGATTTACATACTAAGATAATGAAAAATATTTTTACAAATAAAAGTAATTTTATAAAATACTTAATAGCAGTTTTTATAAAACGTTTTATTTTAAAACAAAATTTACACAAAACATATTTATGTAAAATAATGTAGTTGATACTAGTTTTTCTTTTTCAAAATCATAAAGAAAAGGTAATTGAAAAAAAAATTTATAGTAATATCTTTTTCTAAAATCTTGAACATAAGAAAATTATAAAAATAGTTTATTAGTAGTTTTCCTTTTTCAAATTAGAAACAAAAAAATATTTGTGGAATAATTATTTCAAATATTATTTATGTTATTTTCTTCTTATAAACTGATGATGATTTTTAATATATACAGTATATACTAAGATAAAAAAAAAACAAAATTTGAAGATTTTAATTTGTTTAAAAAAAATAAAAGTAAAAAGAAGAAGTTAAAAATATTTAACTGTAATTTTAATCTTAAACAACTTTAATTTGTACGAATCCTAAACAAAAATATTTTAAATAATAAAAAAATTAATTTAATAATATTAATTTTAAATATGTGTAAAAGTATAAAAAAATAAAAAAGTGTTTAACTGTAGTTTTCCTTTTTGCAAATCCTAAACAAAAATTACAAAGTCAAAAACAAGAAAAATTTAAAGAAATTGTCTGAAATATTATAACTTGAATGCCAATTTTAATACTACATAAAAAGAGAACTATAACATCGGAATTTATGATTTAATGTTTATATTTTAATATTTAAGGGATTAAATTAAGTTTATAAAATTATATAAAATTCCAAACGATATATATGATATTAAATGTCACATACTTAAAATGAGATTAGAAAAAAAAATTTGTACTCTAAGATCGTCTTCTTCAACCTTATTTTAATATATAATAAAATAAATTGTTTATTTATTTTAAGATATATCATCACAAAATTAAGAAGTGACAATTGTATGATATTGTTATTGGCTTGATTGACCTTATTTAACTTTAATTTTTTATTTCATTCTAATTCTTAATTCGAACTAGATTTAGTTTTAATTTTTAGGTATGAGTATTTTCTTTGATCTTAGGTACAAAGCTAAAAACAGTTCACTTATGTGCCATGATTATTAAAATATAAATACCATCAAAAATTTAAGTGGGTAAATAAATTCTAAATTCTAAAATAAATCTCACACAACATATATAAAAATAATTCTATAATATAAAATAATTTATTATTTTACGACTTTTGTAATATTAATCTATGCTTATTAATTTATAAATACTAACCAGAACTTTTATGGAAAAACAAATTATTAATTTTTATAAATCTCACACAGCATATACAAGAAAATCATAAAATTATAACATGAATTATTATTTTATATTTTATAAATATTAAAATATCAAATAAAATATGTGCAACACAGAAGCTGATCATATCTTATTATATAAAGCTTGATTTTCAAAGTTACTAATTAACATGATTGTGACATGTGGCAATTATATATCTAAGATTATGACATATGTTAAATCATAATTTTCCTTTTTTTTCTTAAATACTTAATCTAAATGAATTTATTTTTTTCTTACAATTTTCCTTCTTAAAAATACACTTAAACTAAATAAATTTAAATCATAACTTTCCTTTTTAAATACTCAAACTAAAAACGAATTTCATTTTTTCTTACAATTTTATTTATAAAAAATACTCAAACTAAACGAAGTTATTTTTTTCTTAAAAATAATTATTTAATAGTAATTTTTTCATTTTAAGTTAAAAAAAGGAATTCAAAATTTTTCTTAGAAATAGTTATTAATAGTAATTTTTATATTGTTCTAATTTTTACAAAATATTATAAACAAACAAAAAATCAATATTAATATTAGTATTTATTTTCCTAAGCATGGGTTTAAAATAATTACAAAGAAAACAGTATTTTAAGTTTTATATACAAAATAAAATCTTAAAAATTCTTATAAATATAATAGTATTTTAGATTTTACAAAGAGAATTCTAAAACAAAAATTTATTATAATTTTATTTTCGTTGTAGAATCTTAGTTGCACTACCAAATATAATATGTGTTTAAAATAATTAGAAGTCTATAAATTTATTTTAGTCGTAGTATTTATTTAAAATAAAATTATGCTTGAAAAGTCTAAAAAACATGGGTTAAGATAATTACAAAATCAGTAGGCACTGGATTAAAATAAAGAATTTTCTTTAAAATTTCAAACAAAAAGAGAACTGTAAAAATATTTTTATTATTTTCATATAATTAACTATTTTTTATGGAAGCCCATTGGTCTAGGTTTGACTAAAGATTAATTTTTTTACATTATCAGGTCCATGTTTTGAGTTTGTGAGAAGGAAAATTATCAGTTTACTGGACAAAATGTTTATAAGATAATTTTAGCATTGTACAAAAAATATGTATGGTGTGAGTCCTATGTAAAACTTATGGGGATGTAGACGTGAATCCTTATAAAATGCGTACAATTGTTGACTGTAGAACGCTTATGTAATTTCTTTCACAATTTGTATTAATATAATGAACCACCGATAACAAAACTATAATTGTTTAATATCATCGATACACATTGATATTATCTATAAGGTTTAAAACTAATATATAGTTACAAATAAATAAATATATCGATATATACTAATCTATTATTAAAGTTTAAAACTAATCAATTTTCTTCAGTTACAAAATTGAAGTAATAGTCGATGATGGAAATTTAATAATATAGATATAACTGGAACAACTATGGAAGAACTAAGATTTAAATATTAAAAATATAATAATCTGTGCATGCTATTTGTGTTATTATAATTTTATCTACTAATCAATATTGACAGTTTAAAATAAACACACATGAACAAGGATTATAAGATATTTCCAAAGAACGTACATTTAATTATGGATTAAATTTATTTATTTGAGATAAATGTTAAAAAGGATAAATTCAATCTTTTTATCAAAGTTGTAAAGATTCATAAACACATAAAAGTAAATATACTATATCTTATGTTAGGTAGATATACTATATCTGTAACTTAATTACTTGAATTTTATTTTTTCTGTTTAGTCAATTTCTATGGATAATATTGTGAAAATAACAAAGAAAAGAACGAAACACAAAGGTAAGAAGAAACAAGCGACACTTTTTAGAAAAATTCAAAACATTTAGATTCATGTAATCTTTAAAATTTATAATATACCAATGCTTTATTGTCTATTTTTAAAACAGTAGATGTCTTTCTTTTTCATTTTTAGTTCTATCCCTTTTGTTAAAGCATGCTATGTGCTTTAAATGAATTCAAGGTAGCTTAATATAATTTTGATTATTTTTTATTTTAGTATTTTTGTAGCGTTTAACTGTATTCACATTTTTATGAATAATCATATGAAAATTAGGATGTTGTCATGTTTAGTTTTTATGTGTTTGGTCATAAGAAAATCAAAAACCTATTTGATATAATTTTTAGTGTTCAGTCATTTAAAATATTAATATATTATAACCATAATTGATCTTTATATGTGTTTGGTTAAAAAAAATCAAGTTCCATGCATCACCTTATTACATTTTGTTTTTGATTACTCTGTTTTTATAATTCATTTTTAGTTAATTTGTTATAATGAAAATATGTCATCAGAAATAGTGAATTCGTAAAATTATTTAAAATGAATCAGTAGTAAGAAAGTTATTTATTGTTACTAAAAAGTGAGAAGTAAGTAATTTGAAAAAAATAAAATAAAGAACAAATAGGAATAAATTTTCTCTTAGTTGATGTAAAGATAAATATTTAGTTCCTTTTATTATTTTATTAAAAAGGTTATATGTATAGTTATGTAATTAATTGTTTTGTGCAGAAAATCATAATTTAATATTATATGCATATTTCTTTTCTGTAAAATTTTGTTAATATAGCTGCATATTCAAAGTAAGAAAAAACTTGAAATTGGCTGCTGGATTTCGTCATGCAATGAGACCATTAAAAGAGAGAAACAAGACTCTAAAATATATATTTAATATTGAATATCATATATTTGAAATGAAATAAAATAAAAATCTTTTTAATGATTGTTTCTTTTTCATGTCTGTTAAAACATGTACTAATACAATATATTTTCATAAAAGATTATTCTTACAATCGAGATTTTAAAACATAATTTTTATAAAACACATATATTTTTGTGGCTACAAGGATCAAAACAGGATAAAATTTCATAAGGTATTAATAGTTTTATTACCTCTAAATTAGATGATAAAATGCTGATATATAATGTTTTCTATTACCTATACAACTAAGATTATTTGCAATGCACTTATAGATTCATCTATAAATTTTGTTCTAAAATAGAGAAATTCTATTACCAAAGTATATAAATGATAAAAGCACAGAAAAATCGAGACCTTACAATGACAACACAAACATTACTAAATTACAATTTAAACTTCATAATATGTTTGAGTAATAAGAATAAAAGCAAATTAATAAAGACAAAACTAAGAGTTCAATAAAGTATATTCCATTATCATATACTTGATTGGCTTAATTCACCTTTCAAATTCTTTGTATTTCACTCTAATTTACATTTCTTTAGATTGCGTTTAATTTGAACTTTCGGGTCTCGCTTATTTTCTCTAGCTCTACGTATATGTGCCGTCATTATTGAATTGAAGTTTAACCAAAACTTATGTAAAGAACCGAATTTTGATTCCTAAAATGAATTCGACACACCATATATAAAAACATTCAATTTCAATAAAAAAAAATTTCTTATTTTTATCTTTTTTTATTAAACTTATAAAACATTAATCAAATCCGTGCAACGCACGGGTCCATATCTAGTTTAGTATACTAATGAACTTATAGTAAAAAACAATATAAATCAAAGAAGTATGGAATGACCTTAAATCATCGAAGTAAAAAAATAATATTTTGTTTTAAAAAGTATATTGTTGATATACAGAAACTTACGGCATAGGTAAATTTGTAAGAATACGATTGCAAATACTATATGAGGTACAGTTAAAAGAAAAAAACTCAGCTTCTCGCAAGATCACAATTATATGCCTTCAAAGTTCTTGCATCTCACTCGAGTCTGAACCTAAACATGATGTAACAACTCTCCGTATAATCACTCGATAAATGTTCAATTTTCATATATTCGTCACACAAACTCGTAAACCTACGTAATATCAATTCACTTTTACTCAAAACATAAATAAATACTAGCTATACTAAAACGTGTAAACACAAATACTACTAATAATCTGTGATTAAGCTTGTGGTAATCGCACTTCACTTCACTTCTAAATGGACAAAGGATCCTCAAACTGTTTATATAAAAGACCATAAAAACCAATTTAGAAGATTGTCTCAAAGAACAAAACAGCATTTTCAAAGCAAAAGGAACAACTCATATATACCATTTCTAAGAGACATCAAACCGACGCAGCTAAACAATCAAAACATATGATTCGACAGGAAAGGTGAGAACGTCAACACACTCAACCTTTCCTCACACCTCACACCCGATTATGTAGATTTCCAGACCAACCGTTTTGATATGTAACGTAGCACCGGTTTTTTGGATTTCTTTTTTTGTTTCTTTTGCTTTTTAATTGTAAGTATTATTTTGTTGTTGCTGCTGTTTTCTAAGGTTTTCAGGAATAATGTTTATTTTCCTCCAACTTTTGTAATCAAAGATATATCAATTTCATTCTATTGTTTTTTTTTTAATCACACAAATGTGGGAGTCACAATTGAGAGTATTGAGAATGTCACAAATGAGGAAAAAGAACTCTCAAATCTCCGAAATATCCCATTAATAATGGGAAACGTGTTGATAACTTTATGATTTGGTCAACAAAATTAACTTATGATTATTATAGTTAAATCTGTTGGTCAAACCATAAATATTTCATTTTCATATAAATTATTTTATTCAATAAAATTATCAAATGAAAATAATTATAAAAGTTGGAAGAATACATTGCATAACGAAAACGAAAAAGAAAAAAAAAACAAAGGGATAAAGACTGACTCAAAGAACAAAACAGCATGTTAAAAGCAAAAGAAACAACTCATACCATCTCTAAGAGACATCAAACTGACGCAGCAACACTATCAAAACATTCATATGATTCAACAGGAAAGGTGAGCACATCAACACACTCAACTTTTCCCCACACCTCACGTCCATTGCGTCTTGATTCTAAAGAAATCTTTGCATACCAAATTTTGTTGCTTCCTTTGATAGGACACCTGCGACACCACATAACCAAAAGTTTTCCACCACAGTCCAACAGTTTAAACGCATACCCAGATTTCAAACCCATTGTAGGTTGCTCACACAACTTTTTCAAACCCTTAATCTTTCTCCACACTCTACCACCCTCAAGCTCAGAGGCAGACCACTTTAAATAACCCGAGCGAGTGCAACAACATATTACCTTCCCAATCTCACACCAATCCTGTACGGAATCATCGGATAGGAAACTCGAAATCTCATTTACGAGTTTCCACGTTCCATCTTTCGGCTCGTAACTGTATTCCTCATCACCTCCCAGTAAGTAAATTTTCCCTTCGAACACATTAACTATATAACAGCATCTTTGGCGTAAGAAGTTGCGTAACTCATCAACGTCAGGACCAGGAAAGGCTGTCCAAGACTGAGTGTTTAGGTCAAATACCTCAATCCAGTTGGCATAGTACTCGTCAATATCGCAACCTCCCATCACATATATTTTCTCGTCGAGTAAAACTGTATGCGGATGCGTTCTAGCCACGTTCATGTTAGGGCCATCACGCCAAGTGTGACTCTGACAATCCATGATCTGAACCGAGGAAGATGGTTTCTTGTAGTATCCACCGATTATGTAGATGTCCGAACCAACTACTTCGATGTGACTTCGATGGGGATAAGAATATGTTAAAGAGGAAGGTATAGGAACAACCAACATCCCACTTGAGTCCCGCTTAAACCCAGTCTTCCATCTCCGTTTGGTTCGAGTTTGAGTATTAGGTTTCGTCCGAAGACTAAACCATTTCGCACGTGAGTGATCGCGGAACGTTAACCAGACATAGATGCATGTTTCTGTGGCTCCTATTTGAGATCGTGTCCTGTAGATCTCTTTAGATGATAAGAGAGAGTGGAAACTCTTTGAGACGAGAGAGAGCGATGCGTACTTCCATCTCGAGACACGGGCAAGAATGTTCTCTGTAAGCTCGTCTGGTAGTGATGAAGGCTCAGGAACCTTCTTTTTCTTTTTGGTTGGTTCAACTTCTGCCGAAGTCATGATGATCTGCCAAATAGGTTAAGTTTAACGCATAAAGATTTTTTATACATAGGATTTTTTAGTATTCTTACTTGGAAGATTTTTTTTTTTTCTTTTCGTAAGTTATATTAACACCTAATAGATTAATTATTTATACATTAAAAATTACTGGAAGATGAAGATTTCTCAATACAAATATACCAGTAATTATATTTAATAATTTAAAAAGTAACTTATAAAATCTCAGTACATACAATTCAAAATATAACAAAACCTATACAGATTAATAATAATGAGATTTTATTTTATTTTATTTAAAAATAATAATATTGATATTTTAGAAATATAAATTTAATAGATATATTAGTTAATCTATAATTAATGTATAGATATCTTATGCATGTTTGACGATTAGTTTATAGATATCTTATATTGAATGTGTATATAGGCTGACCAAGAAAATATTATACAATAAGGAACTTATATTGTAACAGTAGGCAACAAATTTAGAATATGAGCAAATTTGATATGTAAAGAAAAAATACAATAACATAGTACCGTAAAAAGAGTTGAGATTTTACCTCTTTTTTATTCTTTTAAACGCTCACGCGACTGATTTATACTGTCTGAGACAAAAGAAAAGAAAGTAGGAGCTTGCTGGTTTTGTTTGCATTGGATGTGTCTTGTAATGAGATGATTCTAGCTTTATATAGCTACAGTCCTAACGTCATCTTCAACGTACGCAATAAAGATGGAGACTGAGAAATATTCTCATCATAATTATTTGGATGTGTCTTCAACGTAGGCAATAAAGATGGAGATTGAGAAATATTCTCATCAGTTGACAAAAAGAAAAAAAGAAAGAGAAATATTCTCATCATAATTATTTGGATGTGCATTTAGATGTATGTTACAAAATCAAATCAATTTTTCATTCATACCTCCACTAATTCAGTTTGACCAATTTAACTAGCAAATATATTTTATTTTAATTATCTTTCAACTTTCTTAGCCACAAAGTTTAAAATCCTCCTATACATTAAAAGTGAAGTCACTTTGACACGTGGCACTCACACAGCCATTCTCAGAAGAATTCTAACGATTCTATTGGTTGATTTTCTAGAATTTATTTTTTTGATTTATTTTTACCATCGACACTACTAAAAAGAAAATCCATTTAAATACTTACCTTTTGTGTTTTCTCGATTCAAAGAATATCCTTTTGCGATCCTTTCTCTGATTAATTCATTAAAAGCGCATTAAATATTTTAATCTATTTTAATTAATTTTTAAATCTATCAAATATAATAATTCATATTAAATGTCTTACCTTATTTAAAAACTACATTACTTGCACAATAATGAAATTAAGCCAAGAATATTAATTGGTCGATCACTAATAATTTAATAACCTTACTAATAATTAATACATGTATTAATAATTTTCCCTATTAGATATTACTTGCGCAAGAATATAAATTAATAAAATATGTATTAATAAATTTCCTTATTACAAATACGGAAAACAATTCACTCTTAATATCATATTGATATCATATTGATTACATTGTTTAGTGCGATTTATCGATTTGTATCTAATTAGGTTGTTTGTTATTATTAACTTACCTTATCAATATTTAATATACAATTTCTAATATATAGTTTCTATATACAGTTTCTCATATGATTAATCGTATAGAATATATAATATTCTCAATAATTTATTAGAGAATATTATATTTATTAGCTTATCATGCAAGCTAAATCATTGAGAAATGTCCACCAATTTACTATATATAAGACATTCACAGTAGCAGAAACGAAGCCACTGAACTTTTTATTCTGAACTTTTTATGTTGATACTATTTTTGTTATTTTACATCATTAAGCTTTTATATATACATATTTCATCAGAGCTGACTTTTCTTTTGATTTATATGCAGATGCCCTATTATAACGATTTCACCACGATGCATGTAAATTTTTTATCTTTCTATATGATTTGATTAATCGTAGATCTATTTGAATTCTAATTCTTACTTTTTAAAATATGTTCATAGGTATTGTCTTTCTATTTAATGATTGTTTGTTAGAGCTTGGAAGGAGAAGAATGCTTTCATATGTATTTTTGTATTGGTTTTTAATTTACAATTTTAGTTTATATGCGCAGACCAACGATTATGACGTTTCCTCCTGTGGATCCATATGTACTTAAATCTCTCTTCACATTCATGTTATTCAGAGACATGAACATTACAAATGATCATATCATCCAAAACACGTAAACTACAATGTAAGTTTCATGTTTTGTTACTTTCTCTATGTTTTTCAAATAATTATTTGCTTATACACTAAAGAAAAAAATCTTTAATCAATATTTCATTATAAAAGTTAGTATAACTTTTTATACATTTTATCAACTTAGTACTCAAATATGATTTTATACAATTTATCATATTATAAAATGTATATCCTATAAATTCATATATGTAAACTATATAGTTCTTTTTTGTCATATTTTTTTTTTGTCATCATAAACTATATAGTTCTCTGTCAATTATAATATAACTTTATACAATTTATCACATAATAAATTATGTATATAATTCAGAGTTAGAATATGATATTTGTAACATTTTTGTATATATTTCTAATACTAATGTTAGAATTAAATCGGTTATATACAAATTTCTATATTAAATATAAGTGATAAAACATAATTATTATATATTTCTATAGATTTACAATATATCAAAATCAAAACTATTTATTATTCTTTAACTTTATAACAATATTATGGTATTAGAAAACATATACCTTGTTGGTAAAGACTTTTAATTAGTTAATTCGTTTATTAATAAATTGCCTTATTTTATTATCAATTTACTCGCGCAACTTTATACGATGATTAACTTATTTTGCCGTCAGTTACTTGTCTTAAATGGTATGTTAATTATTGTAAATTTACGACAGTCAATTTTTAATATCTTTCTTTAATTGCTTCATGTTTATTAAAAGGAAACAAATATTACAAGAACCATAAGACTTTATATATCTCAAGAGATGTCTTTACAAGAATTTTTATAACAAAATATTTCAGGAACCATAAGACTTAATGATAAAATATGATTATTAATTCGTAATTATTCTTTAAATTTGATATATTCTGAATTTTTTTTATTATATATAATTCTAAACGAAATAATATTTTTAGAAAGTATTTTTTTAAATATACATTTAATTGACAAATTTAAAAGTTAAATTTTCGTGAAAATGTATGTCTATTAAGTAAATTTCTTATTCTTTTATGATGTCATTTATTGGTAACTATATACATGTGATATTGCATTAAATGTGTATGTTCTTTATTTCCTAATTAGTTAATTCGGAAATATGATGATTACCTTATTTTGCTATCAGTTATTTGCACAAATTTATATGATAATGGTGATTTGAGTTAGAAAAGCCCAAAACTATTATCCATTTAGAAAACCACAAATATAATGGTGATTTGAGATTTAGAAAAGCCAGAACTATTATCTTTATCATATATATATATATATATATGGATCTTAAAAATGTAATTTACTATATATATACATTTGTTTGGTTTTTCTATTAACAGATAAATAACACAGATGAAAGACCAGTTGTAGTTGACTACAAACTATTTTTCAGTCCGTTTCAATAGCGATATGCAAATTTAATATTATTTTCATCTCGATAAAATTTAGAAATCTATTAAATTATTTTATATTGTACAATTGCTAAAAAAATTGACACTTTTTGCAGGTTTCTATGGGAATTTTTTTAATTCATAATTATTCTTCTTATTTTATATTACTTATGAATTATGTTTAAATTTTTTATCACATTTTCTATGGGATTGTGATATCTATAAGATTTTTATCACATTTTTTAATATGTCTCTGTCTCTTGTATATTTTTCTTACATTTGTTTTTAATAGTTAACTTTTATTAAAAACATACTAATGATGTTAATTTTTCTTTACTTTAGTTAACTTTCATTTGTTTTATTCTTATATACTTTTTGTGACTTTTTTAGTTTTTGTTTCAGTTTAATATTGAATTTAGTTCACATACTTTATGTGTATATGTTTTAAAACATAAATTTTATCACATTTTTTATGGGATTGTGATATCTATGAGATTTTTATCACATTTTTTAATATGTCTCTGTCTCCTGTATATTTTTCTTACATTTTTGTTTTAATAGTTAACTTTTATTAAAAACATACTAATGATGTTAATTTTTTTTTACTTTAGTTAACTTTCATTTGTTTTATTCTTATATACTTTTGTGACTTTTTTAGTTTTTGTTTCAGTTTAATATTGAATTTAGTTCACATACTTTATGTGTATATGTTTTAAAACATAATTTTCCTTTTAAAAATTAAGCGACAAAGAGCCTAACTAAACCGATCCAAAAACATACCGAACTGAATATAAATTGAACTGGACATAAACTACATTGAACCAGAATAAATAAGGTTTATTTTAGTTGAAAAAAATATATTAAAACCGAACCAAACAAACCAAGCCGAAAAAGTAACGATTTGTCCACCCCTACTGCTAAGACAAGATTTGCGCAAATCTTGTCTTAGCATTGAAACTCTCATTTGTTCCACTAACTCCCACATTTGAACTTAATAGATACTCATGTCTCAACATTATACTATACTTTTATACCCGCACAGGGTGCGGGTGGGTCACCTAGTAAAAAATCTATATTATAATGAGGGAGTTTACTCATTCCCAGCGCGCCACGTCAGCATTTTTTTAATGGTCCACGCAAGTTTTTTTAACTACAAAAGTTATTAACGCTGACTATTAACAATAGATTGTCATTTGGCCGAGTGGTATAATCTGTATACCTAAAGCTTCATTCTGCAGGTATCAGGTTCGATTCCCCCTAAAATCTATTTTTTTGGTTCGCATGTTAAATTTAGTTACCGGGCTTTATTTGTTTTTCAGCCCAGTTAAGTTTGTTCTATTACAGA